AATGGAGTTATAGAAGGGTTGCTACTACCTCAGCGGCGAACAGATTTGCTAACTGAAACAACAGCATCATGGAGCACGACAAAGAAGATTTTTAATATTCCTAATATTATTATTCTTTATTCTTAACATTAATATCATTCTTTATTCTTTATATTAATATTAATTCTTAATATTATTCAGTTTTTTCTCATATTATTTTCCCAAATATACAGGCAGTAGCGAGGATTATAATTACTCTATAGATGCAAAAAATCATTTCGTTTGATTGGGCCTCGAAATGGTACTAAAAAATTTTCAATTCTAGTATCTCTTCAATTATTCAGCCTCTTTCAAATTCATTTTCTAGTTGATCCTCCAGTTCAATGCCTTTTAATTCAATTCGATTCAGTTCTCTGTTTTCTCCTTCTTTCGCATATCCGTCTTGCAAATTTGTTACATGACTGTTCAGTGCATGGCGGGTAGGAGACTGTACTGATGATTCCTGCTCCTACCCGCACGCTTAATTCGGTCTGTGTTTACAGCTAAGGGATGAAACAAAGACTGCATCGCAAAATATCTTTTTACACATGACACCTAAGTCCAATCCTTCTACACTACTATTTCAAATAGCACCAGTTCCCGTGTGCCTGATTTATTTTGTTTCCGCAAATATGTTGACACATCCACGATGATGTGTGTTCAGCTGTGGATAAATATCCCCCAAATTCAACTGGTACTTATACAACTTTCTCTCTTAACACTATGTCCTTTCCACTTCAGACTTTTTTCCGCCCTCTGATCCCCTCCATTCCTTTCAAAAAATCTTATATTTCGTATTTTAATGTAGCTGTCGTTAACATAATGGTGCTAAAGACAGCACTTCTTACTGCAATTCGTTTTTTTTTTTTCTGGCGCATATCAGATTATTCCATACTACAGATTTCAGTTTTCAAAAATATTCATTACACTTCACTACTGCCTTATATTTATCTGTCAAACCATGTTAATAATGCTATTTAAGTTTAACACATATCACAGCATCTAATAAATATTAACGTTTCTGCTCTAACTTTAAGGTTCTTTCGTAACTCAAATTTATCTTCATCTTACGCCCACAT